CCACACCACACACCACCGTCTCTTCGACCCGCCACGCCCCAGCTCCCCTCGCCGCCCCGCCCCACCCTCGTGTGTTGACACGGTGTCAGCAGCGCTGCCCAACCCGGTAGCCAGTCAAGTGCCCCGTGCCGCGCTACCTCCTGCCGCCGGGGCGACCCTCGACGACGCGGAGGACAAGCCCTCCCGGCCCAACCCCGCGGGTACACGCCCGCCCCCCGGCGGTGGTCCCCGCCACTCCCCCGCCCCTCCCCAACAACCTCGGCCTGAAAAATCCGCCCTCTCGACTGCCGTTTTCTGTGCTATATTTCTCTTGTCCCGCGCCGCACGCCGGGCGCACGCCCCAAGGCGCGCCGTCCATCACCCCTTCCCCACCCCTCCCTCGCCCCACCCGCGGCCCCGCCCAGCTCACCACCAACCTCCACCAACCACCACCCCGCCCTCGGCCAGCAGGTGCAGCGCGCGACATGGCGGGCCCCAGTCGCCGCCCGGCCCGCGAGGACGCCGTCGACGACATGACCGCGCCGTCGGTCAACAACAACAGGTGCGCCGCGGCTGAGCAGCCGGCGCGCCACTGCTGACGGACGACCTGCCGTCCGGGACCCCGAGGCCGCCGTCGACGAACACAACGCCCCGCGCCATGGCGGCCGACGACGCCGTGAGCGTGAGCGGGCCCGGCGGCCCGTCCGCCGAGCCGGCCAAGCCGTTCAACGACCCGGCCCTGGAGCGGCTCTACCAGAGCTACTCCGTCAAGCAGAAGCGCGCCGGCGTGCAGTGCTTCCTGGCGGCCGCCGTGCTGTACGACGTGTTCATGCTGGTGCTACCGGGGCCGGGCCCGGTGCAGGACTCGCTCACCATCGGCCTCATGGCCGCCTTCCTGGGCCTCAACCTGGCGCTGCTGGCCTGGACGCTGCGGCCCTACCGCCTGGACGCGCTCTGGGCCGCCGTGCCCTACGTGGCCTGGTTCCTCGCCATCACCCAGCTGCTCGCGCACTTCTTCCTGCGCAACTACAACGGCACGGGGCGCGACGCGCTGGGCTGGGCGCTCCTGCTCGACTACCTGCTGTACGTCACGCTTCCGCTGCGCCTGCGCTACTGCGTGCTGCTGTCCATCGCCACCTGCGGCCTGTACAGCGTCACCCTCTACGGGCTCGCCTACAAGGGCGACGCCACGCTGCCCGCGCAGGTGAGTCAACGCACATGCCAGAGGGTGGGATTACTTGTGTATCACAAAGCCATTTCATTTCGAGATGGTTTCCACTTTTCTAGGCGATATGATAACGTGTTACGCAGATTTAAAGACAAAATTTGATTTTACAACCCTGATTTGTTCAAATGTAGAACCTTTGAAAAACGACGAAACCCATCCCTCTTCCTAAAACGAAAACATTAGCACAACCCTTTTAGAGGTAGCAGTCCAGACCCCAAACGTTCGATTTTGCGTTTGCATTCCCAAAAGGTTTTGTCGTCCCCGCGTTGCTGCTGAGGGCACCCCTATCCTATCGCCCCCGAAAGTTTCACGAGCAAAGCAGTGGTGATTAGGCGTTGGGCTCGCGACTGCTCTGTTGTGCAAACTTGCATTTACCTGCAAACGCACGGCACCTCAAATGTTTCGGAATCTGGTCAAAATTGTCGACCGTGGAAATTTTTTAAAACAAATACTGTTACAATCGCAAACTGTTGAGGACGGCGTTGTGGTCGGAGGCGGAGGTGTAGGACGCTACCTACCTGGAGTTTATTGCAGTCTACGGCGACGGAGAGGCGCCAGCGCAGAAACGGAAAGCACCAGGTCCACGGCGATGAGGCACTACTTGTAGTCGTTGCAGCGATAGAGCAACCCCTCTCCCGGCAACGTCCACAAAAACGACAGCACAGCTGAAAATAAATAACGAGAGAATGAGATCGAAATAGTTGCGCGTTAACCCTGTCGTTATAATTATAGGGAGCCGTACAAAAGCAGTTGCACCCCGCTGAACCTCTCGTGCCCCCCTCCTGTACCACCGTAACAAGTCCCTCATTTTCGTCACTTCTTGCCCCTCCCCTCTCTCCCTCCCTCCACCCTACAGCAACACTTTGCCCTCCCCTCTCCCCACCGCGCCCGACTCCAACCCCTTCTTCTCGGAGCTCCCAGAAAAAAGTTTCGCCGCTGCCGTGCACGTTAGGGGGCTCTTTTTGTTCAGCCCTTGCCGCCCGGTGCTGGACAATGGCAAGGGGGCGGGGCAGGGGGCGGGGCGCGCACCCACTGACCGAGCGCGGCAGAGTCTGGGGCGGGGCGGGCGGGAAACTTTGGAATGGAAAAGGAAAAGCGAGCAGAACCGCACCAGGAGACTGGGAAGCAGAGGTGGGTGGGCTATATAGCGCGGAGAGAAAACGGGAGACGAAAAGAGGGGTCATGGGTAAAGTGAAAGGTGTGCCATAATAGGCAGGTATGGCTATCGTCTCAGCCAGGCAATGGAAGCAACTTGCTTAGTTGAGGTCGGGACTCCAGCTAGTAGGACCAAATAAGATGTTGCCGGTCGTCGGGTCAGGTAAGGAAGCACGAGACTACGACTAAGATTGCCGTGTCGGCCTCCAGTGAGGACACCAGGACCAGAAGGTGGCCAGGTCGGCGCCGAGTCTGCCACCTGTAGGGATGCCAGGACCAGAAGATGGCCCGGGTCGGCGTCGAGTCTGCCACCTGTGGGGATGCCAGGACCAGAAGGAGGCCCGGGTCGGCGTCGAGTCTGCCACCTGTGGGGATGCCAGGACCAGAAGGTGGCCCGGGTCGGCGTCGAGTCTGCCACCTGTGGGGATGCCAGGACCAGAAGGCGTCCCGGGTCGACGCAGGGGTCTGCCGCCTGAGAGGACACCAGGACCATAGGGTGGTCTGGTCAGGTCGACGCCGGGGTCTGCCGCCTGAGAGGACACCAGGACGAGAAGGTGACCGGGCCGCCGGTGAGGACACCAGGACCCGGAGTGGCGCGGCCGGCGCTGCCCCGGGGCCCGGGGGCCGCAGGTGCCGTCCGGTCGTAAACCCTTCCCCCACCTGCTCCTTTACAGCCTCCCGCCCGACCGACAGAGCATCAAGCGGCCGCGGTGCGGTGCGGAGCGGGGCGGGGCGGCGGCGGGGAGAACACAATGGCGGTGACGAGCAGCATTTTTCACCTCCGGAGGTGACGGCGCGGCCGCGGGCGCAGGAGCAGAGGAGAAGAAAAAATCAAGTGTATGAAAAATTTAAGTGTTCACGTCCGGAAAATGCGAAAGGAGAAAAAGAAACGGAACGTGCTCAGCAGGAGTGGATGGAGTGAGGAAAGAGAAGGGGAGGGGTGTGCAGAGTGACGGGGCGAAAGGGAGGAGCGGAGAGAAGGCTTCGCTACCAAAGCACACACACGTTGGGGCACCTCTCTCGGCACCTCACCCCTAGCCCCCCAACCACTCTCTCTCACTCTCTCTCTCTCGGATGGAGCTATGCGCCCCGCGGCAGGGACCGCGGCCGACCACGGCGGAGCCTTCGTTCGATCCGTGCAGTCGATCCCAACCTCCGCTCCATCCCGATCTCATTTCTCGGAGTCGGAGCGGAGAACGGGAGAGCGAAGAGAGGAAAATGGAGAGAGACGCGGGATAGTAGAATACGTGGAGGAGCGAAGGCGGTAAAGGGAGAATGAAAGGGGGCGACGATAATTCAATCGCAATAAAAAAACACGCGGAGAAAAAAATCTGCCTTCGTAAAGAGGAGCGGGAGGAAGAAGTAGTGTGAGGAAGGTGGGGAGAGGGGAGGGGGA